AAAAAAAAAAAGAAATTCAAAATAGTTGAAAAAGAAATGTACTCTTTACCTGACATTTAACTGTAACCCCTTGTACATCACCTTTACAATAAATTTTTTAATTCAAAAAAAAAAACCAAAAACATCAATCAACTCTTACTTTTCCAAAGGGCTGGTCATTTTTTTCAAGTTTTTATGAAATCGTAAGGCTTGGATATCTTGTGTCTCTATTTTAGGAGGTAAAAGTCCTTGAAGACCAAGCATTTGTCGTTCCTGTAATGTAAATGCCATTCCCTAAAAGAAAAAAAATGCAAGGATGAAGGTTATTTACTCTAGTACCAATGGTATTGTCCTTTAAAATGTCATCTAACTGCAAATTTAAAAATCAACAAAATCCATTTGCTAAGATTTTCAGAATTTATAAGATCCGTAATATCCAGGATTGATGAAACTGGAAAAAATTACCCTCATAAATACAATTACTGGAAATCTAAACTAGGCTTTTGGAAGACAGTTTTGAAGTGCTCTTCAAATTTTAATGAAGATTTTCTTCTGTTAAACAATATGATCACTAGTCATCTCAGACAAATAGACACAGGACAAAAAAGCACATATAGAAGTTAGTGACACTGTGTCTAGTTCTCTTGGCTGTTACAAATTTACTACAAGTACACCAATTATGCTGTAAGGAACCTATGATATATTCATACCATGAAATACCATTATAATAACTAAGATATATATATGTGTGTATGTGTATATATATATATATATGTACAGTATTAGATCTTCGAGACACACTGTTAAGAAAAAAGCTGTAAATCAAAGTACACTCCTGTTAACCCATTTTATGTTCAGAAAAACTCACACAAAACTATACATTCTACACAGATGCAGGTAACATATTATAAATTAAACCAATAAAATATAATTAAAATCAATAATGTCAGAAGAAAATCTTCAATTTCCATTTTTCAACTGCGGAGCAAATTCTTTTGTTAAAAAAAATGGTGTCAGCAATTGCTGTTGTATAAATTCCTGGAAATCCTTTCCTCCATAAGGGGAAAGACACACTGGCCAAATGATCAGGGTCAACTGCTTTTCAGAACCCTGGAAATTAACCAAAGGCTACCTTTCCTATTCCAAAGTAGTCTTGAAAACCAATGAACAGCCTGGGAATGAGTCAATGCAGTAGGAAGAAAGGACTGGAGCTTTTGCAAAGTCCTATGCCCAGGGCAATGTTATGATTTGACCTGTCTGATATTTTCTTGTAGATCGCACCTATAGTGCTGTTTTACCTTGCCTGTCTCATAGCTCACTGGGTGCTAACAGGGTTCTAATCTCCAAAGAGCTTGGAAAATAATCACAGGCAATATGTCAGTATGGCAGCTGCATGGATGACACAGGAAGTAGACAATAAACTAACCAAAAAACTGAGCAGGAAAAGCTTATGGAACCGGATGCCCGTAGGGTGGGGCTTTGAAAAGCTGGAAGGTATTCTGGGCAATCCATATGGCACGATCTATGGCCCTGTCCAGAAAATACTGGAGAGGCCTAAGCTCCCACCTCTGGCTAAGCCTCAGGCTCTGTGCAAGGAGGATGTGAAGGCTGATATGTCATCACAAATTTAGGCAGCTAAGTGCTAGAGGTATATCTGAACACATACATACACACACACAGACCGTGGAAGACTGACTGGTTCTAGTTCAGGTTCTAGACATTTAACTCTCTAATCACAAGCTGACCACCAAACTAACCACAGAGAGACTTCACCATATACACATAGTAGGCATAAAGACTTAAAAGAAATAGTTCAGGGGCTGGGAAGGTGGCTCAGTGGTAGAGCACTTGCCTTGCATGCCTGAGGCCCTGGGTTCGATTCCTCAGCACCAGATAAGCAAAAAGAAAAAAGCCGGAAGTGGTGCTGTAGCTCAAGTGGTAGAGCGCTAGCCTTGAGCTGAAGAGCTGAGGGACAGTGCCCAGGCCCAGAGTTCAGGCCCCACAACCGGACCCCCCCCCCAAAAAAAGAAATAGTTCAGGAATACCACTGTAGGAAGCCAGAAATTATAGTGCTTGCCTGTAATCCCAGCACTTGGGAAGATGAGGCAGGATCGTTAAGTATCAAGTTCCTATTAAAAAAAAAAAAAAGAGGGAGGCCCTGCAGGGATTTAAGGGAGCAGGGCAGAAGAGGAGGAAGGGGGAAAAAACACTCCCACAATTTACTTGCACTTAGTATCTGCAAAGCCTTGGAGCTCCCTGCATAATGCTGGGTTTGCAGGCTTGTAAGTTACAGGACCATGGGGGCTTCCTGTCGCATTAGCAGTGTCCTGCAAGGACCCCTGACAGGCCAGAATGTGGATCTGAAGGTGAAGCTAAAGCTGCAATGAAGATGCCAGCAAGTACTATGTTCTGAAGAAAGCTGCAGGCAGCATGCAAGGCCACGGGGGAGGGGGAGGGGAGACACCCAGGCCCCCCGGGATGCCACATCATACCCAGCGTGCGCTGGATGAAGGGTTTGCTATCTGTCTTGTTGAGTCTTGCTTTGGTCCAAGCCCTCCTTTCTATCTTCTATTTCTGTCTTTTGAAACAGTTAGATTCGTTTTGCCATTGTATACTTTGGGAGTATGTGACTTTCAGAGAAGCTCACAGCTGTGTTTGTTCTGGGTCCTAAAGGAGGCTTTGGACATGGACTTTGAAGCAATGTTAGGATAAGTAAAACTTCAGACTCTTGGAGACAGAATGCACCTTGCACTGTGAGATAAACTTATGAGCTTTTTGAGATCAGGGCAGAATGCTTTAGCTTAGACCTTACGTGACCCTCAAAGGCCCAGGTGCTGAAGGGTTGTTCCTTGGAGTGATGCTAGTGGGTGGCAGAGTGCTAGAGAGACAGGGCCTTTTGGAAGGTCTTCAAGTCGCTGGGTAAATGGCCATGACAGACAATGGCACATTGGCATCTTTTTCCTGACCCATGAGGAGAACAGCTTTGCTCCATCTTGTGCTCTCTGCCATGATGAGGTCTCAAAGCAGCACAGCCAGATTAGGGACTGAAACTTCTGGAACTTTGAGCCAAAATATAGCTTTTCTTATTTAAATTGATCATCTCAGGTGTTTTTGAAGCATGCTGGTGGGCAATTAAGAGGCCTTTCTTTTCCTCCTATGTGAAGTTAGAATAATCTGTCTGGGATCAGGAAAATGCCGAATACTTACAAAACTGCTAACATGACTTACAGCGCCAAAATTGGAACTAGAACTCCTCAACAGTAATGACTTATTAAAATACAACATCACCTAAAGAGAATACCAGGACATAGTGCATCTTTACAGTTTCCCTTTTTATATGCAACAATATAGAGGAAGACCTGAGGTCTGCCCTAGTCCATTAGGCTGGTATAACAAACATAATATTGGGAAGTTTAGAAACAAAGTTTTACTCCTTACAATTTCAAAGACAGGAAAGTAGTAGAGCTGTGGCTCAAAGTGGTAGAGCACTATCCTTGAAGAAAAGAGCTTAGGACAGCAACCAGGCCCTGAGTTCAAGCCCCCTGACTGACAGAAAAAACAAACACAATTCACATGATCAAAAACAGGAAAGTGTCAATGAGTCAGTAGATTTAGTGACTGGGGAGGAACCATTCCTCAGGGAAGACATCTTGTTTTCTCCATGCACTGGAAGGATTAGGATAACTCTCTTGGGATGTGTGTGTCTGTGGCACATGCGCTGTTCCTAGGACTTGAACTTAGGACCTGAGCACTGTTCCTGTGTGTGTGTGTGTGTGTGTGTGTGTGTGTGTACGTGTGCACATGCTGTTCCTAGGATTTGAACTTAGGACCTGAGCACTGTTCCTGAGTGTGTGTGTGTGTGTGTGTGTGTGTATGTATATGCACATACTGTTCCTAGGACTTGAACTTAAGACCTGAGCACTGTTCCTGAGTGTGTGTGTGTGAGTGTGTGTGCACATACTGTTCCTAGGACTTGAACTTAAGACCTGAGCACTGTTCCTGAGTGTGTGTGTGTGTGTGTGTGTGTGTGTGCACATGCTGTTCCTAGGACTTGAACTTAGGACCTGAGCACTGTTCATGAGTGTGTGTGTGTGTGTGTGTGTGTGTATACCTGCACATACTGTTCCTAGGACTTGAACTTAAGACCTGAGCACTGTTCCTGTGTGTGTGTGTGTGTGTGTGTGTGTGTGCACATGCTGTTCCTAGGACTTGAACTTAGGACCTGAGCACTGTTCCTGAGTGTGTGTGTGTGTGTGTGTGTGTGCACGTGCTGTTCCTAGGACTTGAACTTAGGACCTGAGCATGGCTGCTGACCATTTTGCTCAAAGACAGCACTCCGCCATTAGAGTTTTATTTCCAGCTTCTTGGTGCTTAATTGGAGATAGGAGTCTCACAGACTTTCCTGCCTGGGCTGGCTTCAAACTGAGATCCTCAGATCTCCACCATATGACTAGTTTGCAATATTGGCATGAACCACCGGCATCTGGATGGGTCACTTTCTGAAGGACATTAAAATCCCATGTGGAACCTCCATGAACTAGCTACTATATACAAATACAGAACTGCCAATACCATCAGTTTCAGGGGATAAAATTTTCAATGTATGAATTTTGAAAGGACAACATTTACACCATTAGCTATAGATTCAAAGAGATTATCACTAGAGTCATGATTATAAAGCCAGTAAAGGGTCAAAGACTGGTGGGACTCCCAATGGTCTCTCTGGTTCCAAATCTATCTACTAAACTAATATGCAGCCATAACATTACATTAAGCACCATGGAAATATATTCCTATTTTTCCTCGTGGTAAAATAGCATATGAAATTATACACTACAATTTAAATCCTGAATTTTATGGAGATGATAGTAAAATGAAAACAGATGATGATATACTGAAGCGATAGTCATATTTACTAATCATATTATTTGTGTAAGTAAACTAACTCAAATTTTTCTTCTACTTTGTAACTATTAGAGAAGTTGAACAAACAAAACACCCAGAGGTGGGAATTAGAAAACAAAAGCTCTAGACAAGATACAAAAGGAGCAAGACCTTAAATATCCTAGGGCTGACATTCCCTAATCCACAGAGCACTTAACACTTCTCCAATTAAATTAATGATTTGAATACTGAGTGCTTTTAGTTCTAGCAATCTACAGTTTTGTTATTCCAAATGAAGTCCTTTAAGATACAAAGCTATGGCTAAAATAAACTAGAACCTGTAGAAGGATCCCTTCACAGCCTTACATCTTTGTGTGTGTGTGTTTACATTTATATTTTTCCCCATTCAATCCTTTTGGCTGAAATACATTCATATATTATTTGGCCTTTTTTATCCTCCCCTCTTATTATGAAACCTTCCTGTCACTCAAGCCAAACTTTCACTCCTTTACTAATACCCCACCTCCAGTTGTCATTTTGCTGTGGAATTTTATCTTCTTCATTAGAGTTCTCTTTTAAAATTTCATTGCATCATAAATCTGGCAAGTGAGGTTTTAATTGCTCTGTCACAGTTTTCTCTTCTTCAGTCAATGGTGACAACTCCAGATCTGTATGCTTTTGTAGTTCTTGTATCATGGTCATGGTCTTATTCAAAGTAGTACAAATGCGGCTCTTTGTCTCTTTCTGCTCAACAACGACTGGCATAAAACGTGCATACAAGGTTTGATATCGAGACTTTAAGGCTGTCAATTCCTTTAAAAGGGTAACTGGATTTTTCTTGCCTGCTGAATCAGGGTGATTAGCCTTGATTTCATATTCCAGCCTGTACTGAATGTAATCCAGGTCAGAATCAGCTTTCTGGAACATGAGTTCCAGCTTATCGACCTCCGCCTCCATGTTTAATAGTTCCACAGCCTTACATCTTGACAATGATATTTTGCTTAAAAGAAATGTTCATTATTATTATGGGAGCAACTGGAAAAATAAAGAATTTAAATGGCAGGAGAAATTTGAGAATTACTGACTGTTGTTAATAGTGTTCCATTTCTTTCTTAATTTCAGAAGGACTCCTACAGAACCAACACATCACATTATCAACCAAAACTCTGGCTTCTCTCTTGCAGCCAATTCAAAGAATTGAGGAGTTGAAAGAAAATGAAGAACATTTGTGGTGGGGGGGTGGAGAGGGAGGAGCGGGAGGCGTTGGGGAGGCTATGTACATAACTGGAGCTGGCCCATCCTGTCATCACACAAATAGTTTTTACAGTTGTAATCATAATAACCTCCATTTAAAATGCCTGGGATTTCCTGTCTGATGGAGGGATCATTAGTGCACAAAATAAGATGTCACTTAGTACCTTTGCAAGCTTTAAGTCTGTGCTAAAAATGATATTAAATTATTATATATTTGCTGCACTAGGTTTCCATTAAGGGCTATAAAGCAGTTCTAGAACTCCACAACAGGGGTGGTTATACAACAGTGAATGTAATGTAAATGAATGACACATTTTTAATGCTAAACAGTATTACAAGCATTATCACAAGTATACCTTTAATACAGAGGGATTACAGACACATCAAAAAGGTTCAGAATTCAATCTTGCCTTTTTACTAATTAGAGCAGCAACAAACTCTTTAAAATAAGACACATAAATACATAAGAAATTATTAATTCAGTTTACAGTCTGTGAAGTACAAACCTGATTTCTTAACATGGTATGTCTCCAAGGAATCCTTGACCTGTAAATTGAAAATCTTTTTATAGAAGTACTATATAATGCATTTAGGTTATCTTCCTAGAAATTTCTCACTTAATATACTTTATATATTCCTTATAGCCACTAAATCCCTGCAATAGGTTTTAAGTAAAATAAGTAAACAATAAATAAAAACAGCACATTTAAGAAATGTCTACTAAACCCAAGATATTGACAAAGACATAAAGTATTTGAACTGTACTACCTCCAATGGAACCTAAATCAAAAAGAGATAAATTCATGGAAACATAAATAACAGCTAAATACAAAATAACCATATAGATTACTTGCCATAGAAACAGGAAGATAAAATTAGTTAAGAGTTTCAGAGAAGCGAGCAACCATTGCAGTCTACTGCAGTGTGAAATACCCCTACTAGTTGTGAGTATATGTTGATGGGATTGAATGCAGGGTCTCAAGCATTGTAAAAAAATGGGCCACCACTGAATTCCATTCTCAGGCCTGGATTTGGAATGAACTGCATGTTGAAGAACAAGCAAAATCTGGAAACTGAGGCAAAAACAAGAGGGGGATAAAGATACCTTTAATTAAGCTTCATATAAGTCATTAGGTATCTGCTGAGTCTGTGCAAAGTACCAGAAATGCAAAGATGTGGTCTTTGGTGTGATCTCTGGACACATTTCTTCTTGTTGGCCTAAACTATGCTAACTAAGCATGTCAAAGACTTTATTTTACTCAGTACCCAGAAAATATCACTAAGGGGGAACTAATTATTCTTGTCAATTTTCAGATGACTTCAGGTAAGTTAAGAGAACGTATTTATAGATGCCCAATCACATAGCAAAAAAGAGCTGGAACCAGAAGCTGGCTGTAAAGATGCAAAAACCAACCCTCTTAACTATTCTATTTAACAACTTAGCATGGCAGTTCATACCTGTAATCATACCACATAGGATGCTAAGGCAGGAGGATCACAAATTCAAGGCCAGTCTGGGCTACATGGTAAAACACTGTTTCAGAAAAAAAAGAAAAGAAACTACTCACAGTCATTATATTTACTTATATTGCTATTAAAAATAGAGAAATCTGCTGCTGAGCCCAACTAAAAAAAAATAAAAAATAAACTCATGACTGGGTCTTAACATTTCCTATCACTTCTATCCTAGGAATGGTAATAGAGTTAAGCCAGGCACTGGTGGTTCATACCTATAATCCTAAAAGCTGAAATCTGAGGATCATAGTGCAAAGTCAGCCTAGTCAGGAAAGTCCATGAGACTCTTATCTCTAATTAACTACCAAAAACCCAGAAGTGGAGTTGGGCTCAAGTGTCAGAGACTAGTCTTGAGTACAAAAGCTCAAGGACAGTGCTCCCTGGACCAGCACAACGAAATAAAAATTTAAAAAAAGTCAAAGGATTTTTGTCTTTGAAGCCATTACCCATTCATTGAGCAAAATTATTATGTGAGAGGATTTGTGTTTAGTAAGCTGGGTGGAGGCTCCTTTCACAATTTTGACCTCACCCTTCAAAGACCTAACTGGTTGGCCCATACTGAGTATGCTACAAGCTCAGTAAATGTAAAAATACCATATCTTGCCCAAGAAAAACAACCAGAAAAACCCAACACAAAACCTGGTTGCAGTGCTATTCATAGTTGGTGGTATTTTGCTTCGCAGTTGAGTCTTTTCTGTTAGCTAAAGTTGTGAAGTATGAAATTTAGGAGATATAAAGTAGCTATGTTTTTTTTCAAAGGGAATATGAAAAGTTTATGTAAAGAAAGCAAATGGCGCTGAAAACTTTCAGTATAAAGCTATCAAATACCTAGCAGTCTTCCTTATCAAACCTTTACCAGAAGGAAGGAAAGTCTGCGCTGGCATGGATGTTACCAACCTTGTTCGTTCTTGGGTTCAACATGAGTGGCTTGCCTTTCTCTTTCCGGTGCAGATGACGGCATGCCAAAGTACACGGAGAGGTGGCTACTCTTAACCGGGAAAACATGTTTTCTTTCACCTTCAGAGAAAGCAAATAAACCAGTGAGGAAACAAAGAACTGCATGTGCATTGGCTGTCAGTTTTCAAAAGCAAGTTTGGAATGCTCATCTTTCCCTGAGAGACCACGCTGTTTCAGAACACATTTATACTTCCACAGGCTGTAGCACTGTATCAAGGCAGGGATGGTGGAGGCAAGCTCAATTTTCTTCATAACACTCTTAAGTTCCTGGGCCATTAACCACAGCTACTATTTACACCTATCACATGCCAGAATCTGTGCCAAACATATGACTTCTTTTTTTTAACATGTAACTTCTTATTGTACCAGTGTGGTGAGGTATATGTCTTCATGTGAGAAAATATATAAATATAAATAGAGATATTAAGAAACAAATGAACATTTAATGAACGTCAAGGAGAGTGTATTTTGGTTTTGTTTTTTCCTTTTTTGGTCCTGGGGCTTGCCTAGATGCTGGCCCTGAGCTTCTTTTACTCAGGGCTAACACTCTACTACTTGAGCCACAGCACCACTTCCATTTTTATTTCTGAGTAGTTTATTGGAGGTAAGAATCTCACAGACTTTTCTGCCCAAGCTGGCTTCAAACCAGGATCCTCAGATCACAGCCTCCTGAGTAGCTAGGATTATAGGAGTAAGCCACCAGCACCAGGCAGGAGTTTTAATGAGTCCTGGCTCCACTTGAGCAAAAAAGCTGAACAAGAACTCAAATCCCTGAGTTCAGGCCCCAGTACTGGCCAAAACAAAACAGTGTGGGAGTTCAGTTTGGAAGTAGGAAAAAAATGACAGGAAAACTAAAATACATACATTTTGGGCCAAAAAGCTATAAAAAAATCTTAATCTAGACATTTGTTTATTGAACTCAGGACTTTGGGCTCTTCTTTGCATTTTTGCTCTACTATTTGCGCCATTGCTCTACTTTTGTCATTTTGCTGGAAATAGAGTCTCATGGATTTTCCTCCCTGGGCTGGCTTCAAACTACCTGAGACTATCTCCAATCAACCACCAGAAAACCAGAAGTGGCGCTGTGGCTAAAGTGGTAGAGTACTAGCCTTGAGCTGAAGAGCTCAGGGACAGCGCCCAAACACAGAGTTCAAGACCCATGACCAATAAGAAAAAAGAAAAAGAAAAAAAAAAGAAGAAGAAAATTCATGTATTTTAAGATCAACTGTTTTAAAGGAAATGATTCACAGACATTGATATTTTTATTGAGGTGAGGTTTCACTATATATTCTAGACCGGCATTGAACTCAAGATCCTCCTGTTTCAGCCTTTTTGGCTACCAGGCCTGGCTTCCAAGCTCTTAACATTTCACCGTTGCCACTTCCATCTACTTCCAAAATACCTTCATAACACAAAAGGAAACATATTCCCATTACAGATATTCCTCATGCCTCCTTCCCAACTGTATTTATGGATTTGCCTCTTCTAGGTATTTCATATAAATGCATTGCTTAGTACGACCACTTATAGTATCAAGAATCAAGACATGAGCCAGGAGCTGGTGGCTTGCACCTACAATCCTAGCTACTCATGAGGCTGAGCTCTGAGATAAGAGTTCGAAACCAGCCAGGGCAGAAAAGTCTGTGAGTCTCTCATTTTCAACTAACTAGATAAAACAAACAGGAAAAAACAGAAGAAGAGGTGTGGCTCAAGCAGCAGAACCCCAACCTCAATAAAAACAGTAAGGAGGAGCATAAGGCCTGGAGTTCAAGCCTCATACTGGCATATCCTGTCCCCTCTCCCCCAAATATAGAAATAAATACTACAAAACAAGTGACCTATTTTGTCAAAAATATTAATGCCACAAAAGACAAAGAACTATTGCAATTCATCAAAATTTATTTATTTAATTTTATTTTTGTGAACACACTGTACAGAGGGGTTACAATTACATGGGCAGGATAATGCGTACATTTCTTATCAAGCATTGCAGCCTCCTCCTTTGTTTACCCTTCACATCCCTTCCCAGCCTCCCCTCCTACCCCCCACCCAATCCTCCCCGCCTCCCCCCCCAATTCATCAAAATTTAATAGATGATAACTAAGTACAAAACTTGACCATGGACTAGACTACATTATTGGGGAAAAAAATTTTAATAAAGAGTATGACTGAGAAAATTTAAATGTTGAAGACAGAGATTATATTGTATGTAATTTAAAATTTTCTGAATTTGATAAGCATATAAAATATATTCTTGCTCTCAATGTACACTACAGGGTAGTATACGTCGTATCTCATATATGTTATATAATATATACTATATATAATTTTAAATATTATATATTATATTATACATTATATCATATATCTGTTACATATTACATACATAATATATATAACATATATGTGCATATGTAACCTGTCTTTCAAAGTGATTTGGAAAGAGACTTTAAGAGAGAAATAAATACAATCAATTACACATATTAAATGGAAGGACAAAGGGTGAACAAATTCAATGTCCAATGGTACTCATTGGACATTATGTTGTAGATGAATTATACAACTTATGGGTGGGGATGGAAGGGAAAAACTGGGAGAGAGTGAGGGAAGGGGTGACACTGTCCAATAAGAAATGTACTCTTTAATTAACTGTAACCCTTCTGTACATTACTTTTATAATAACAATAAAAATTTAAATAACATATCCCATAAAAAAGAAATGTTCTCTTTTTTTTTGTCTTTTCTTTTTTGGTACTGGGGATCGAACCCAGGACGTTGCACTTGCTAGGCAAGCGCTTTGCCACTGAGCTACATCCCAGCCCAAGAAATGTTCTCTTTACCTGACATATAACTATAACCCGTCTGTATATCACCTTTATAGTAAAAATTAAAATAAAAATACATATATTAGACTATGTTTATAAAACCAAATCCAAAATATAGTTTAACCAACAGAAGGAAATCCCTAAGCCTGTAGGTACTGTGGCTTACATACATAATCCCATTTACTCCCAGCTACTCAGACAACAAAGACTAAAAGGATAGTGGATCAATAAAGTTAGGAAGAACCACCTCAACAAATAAGCTAGGTATGCTGGCCAATGATCTCACCTGTACAGGATGCATTAAGTATGCTGGCCAATGATCTCAGCTGTACAGAAGGCAAAATCTTGATTTGAGGTCAGCAAAAAAAAAAAAAAAAAGTAAGACTATCAAAATAATTAACTAAAAGCAAAAGAGCTGGAGGTGTAATTCAAGTGGTAGAGCATCTATCTAGCAGATAAGAAATCAAAGTCCTCCACCAAAAATATCTCTGAAGAGCAGTCTTTTAAAGATTTTTTTTTTTGGGGGGGGGTCTGGTCATGGGGCCTGAACTCTGGGCCTGGGCACTGTCCTTCAGCTCTTCAGCTCAAGGCTAGCACTCTACCACTTGAGCCACAGCGCCACTTCCGGCTTTTTTTTCCTTTTTGCTTATGTGGTGCTGGGGAATTGAACCCAGGGCCTCATGCATGCAAGGCAAGCACTCTACCACTGAGCCACCTTCCCAGCCCTAGAGCAGTCTTTTAAAGGAAGATTTTAAAATAAGATTTTTTAAGTTTCCCAATATCCAGATTTATACAAAAGTTACAAAAATAGTATAGAATTGTTATATACAGTTTCCCTCCTTCTCATGTTTCCATTGGAGAATCTGACACAATAGGTTTTCTAATGAAGAAAAATGTTCACTATACTTTAGATATCATCCTCAGACAAGTCCTTGGCTTCAAAGCGGCTCAGCTGTATTGTTTTATGAAAAAAACAATATTGTGTTATGGGAGTGACATTTGGCACTCAACGATGGGCTTGTGGCTTTTTTTTGTTCAGTCCTTGACCCAAGAAAGGTCTTTACATTTTTATATGGTTGCATGCACAAACATCCATGCCCAGAGATGCTTGTGGCTCACAATGGTAAAGTAGTGACTCACTAGTCATCACCAAAAAATGTTGCTGCCCAGAATAAAGGCTACAGATTCCTGTGATCTGAAAAGCACAATATCTGCTACCTGTGTTTTACACGCACATGCACGCATGCACACATGCACATACACCCACATACCACACCCAGGTCTGGATGATAGTGGCATTATTTCCGAATTAGTTCTATATCAATTCATAGATCAGCAACCAAGCGATGTTTTGTGTATGTGGTGGTACTGGGATTGAACTCATGGTTTTGTTCTTTTGATTAGCTTTTTCACTCAAGGCTAGTGCTCTTCCACTTAAGCCACACCCCCACTTCCAGCTTTCTCTATTCACTTGGGATACAACTGTTCTGTGTGGGTTGCTCTGGAACCTCAGGTCACAGCCTCCTGAGGAGACAGGAATTCAGGCATGTGCTCAAATAAACAACTCAAAAAACTTTTTTTTTCATCAAGGTCTTTTTAGCAGCCCAGTCTGGCAGCAAATTCAAGATCCTAGCAAACTGTTAGATGCTTATCAGTAATTTTCTCTTTCTTTGAGTCCATGATGATTATAAAGTGACTGCAACAGAAAACAAGTCAGATCAAAAAAGGGTACTAAGGAGGAAGGTGGGAGACTTTTTATTAATTTGCAGAATTCAGCGAAAGTACCTCTTAGATTGCCTCTTACATAGTCATACTCTCTCTTACTATACTGCCCATTTCTGTGACCAGACAGAAATGCAAGGGTTTAGGATTAAGCAATTCTCCAGCAGAGAGCAATGGAGTGTCCTATAATTGAATTCAATTCTGATCCTGTCTCCAATGAACACAGGGTTGAGGGCTCGGCCTCACAAAGCTGCCTGTACTTCAGCTGTCACCCATACTTCTAACCAACCAGCTTATGTATCTGGGTTCCACCAAGGGGTCTGACAATTTGCTGGGACAGTTCACAAAACTCAAGGAAAAATACGACTATGCCTATGATTTTTATTATAAAGTATATATAGAAAGGATACTGATCAATAGCTAGATGATGAGATACACCGGGCAAAGTCTATGGGAGGGAGTAGAGCACACCAGCACTTTCGTGTGTTTGGAGAGGAGAAGCTCAAGA